ATATATATATAATGTCAGCCAAGCCAATCATGCCAAGAGTTTGTTGCCAGGCATTTTGGAGATGAAGAAACCCAAGCTAAAGCGGAAGATTGTTCGCCGGGTCATTTTGGGACCCAGGAACCTTTTCAATCCAGAGGTCTTGAAGGATGAGTTGGATGCTACTGGGTTGGAACTTTGGGGCCTAGTTTGGCATGAGAGTTGGCCTGTTGATCTCCAGTTATTTGCAGCTGGTGTGGGCATTGCTGACCACATGGATGGCTTGTACGTGGGAAAACTTTCACGGAACGCCCCTGCAGATCTTTCAGAAGGAAACCAGTGGCTCTCCTCGAAGTTTCTGGACTTTGGTGCTATTGAGGCTCGAGGTGAAAGAAAAACACATACATGTATGTATATATATATACACATGACCATCAGCGGATTTCACTTCCAAAGTTTCTGCAGCATGGGCACCGTGCACATGAGATAGGAAGTGTGGTTCGGCAGACACCCATGGCAGGCAAGAGTGGTCTCGCGAGGACCCCATGCCAAACTCCAGTCAGGCTTTCGATATCTTCCAGATGATACGTGTCTTGGATCGTCTTGGTATGATGCTGTAACATTGTCCTTTCTGTATATGTACAAGGGGGGCGCATGACATAGGAAGAAAGAACCTCATGTTAAAACTATATATATATATATATTTGGTTCTTATTTGGTAGATAGGCGTGCCCTTTCAAGAGCCTAGGAAAGGATGCAAACGCGATTCAGAACAGGTAGCTGAGTTAGCAGCTGAGACTGTTTCCAAGAGAGCGCGTGCTTCAGACACCACTGTGGAGAAAGGCATTGAAGATGCCAAGATGGAGCAGGAGAAAGGCGGGCGGATCAGGGGGCTGTGTAAGTTCAGAGTTCACATGCAATATTTCCCTAGTCCTACAATTGTTGTTTGGCAATGCATGGAGAAAACCATTTGTTTCTTTTTGTTTTGTTCCAATTTATATAGGGAGCCAGAGCGCGCAACATGACATAGGAGGTGGGGGTTTGTGGTTGACAGGTGAGCAGATGAAAGATGCATTGCATGCTTCTTTGCTTCAGAAATGCAACGAGCACAATGAGCTTGAAGAGATGTCCAAAGCATGGCAGGACTTCACTTCCAATATCCTACGCTCTCCAGAGGTTTTGGCGTTGGGCAAAATCTCTGCATTCGCCTTGGGGCAGAAGCTTGGCCTAGGTCAGGAGCAGGTGCATTCTCATTTGATGGCAGAGCTAGCGGTGGAGTTAGCAGTTGATGCAGGCAAGCTCAACACTCGAGACGAAGGTGATCCCAAGTGGCTACAAGAAGAGTTTCCCTCATGCGATGTCATCAAGGTAGCTTTTTACCTTCAGAAGCAAACTCAGGACAAGAGTGCCAAAGCTCTAAGGTCATTGGAAACCATGAAGCGAAAGTGTGGGTTAGTGCAGAAGTCCCAGACCAACAAGAAACTCCGTGCAATCCAAGCATTGGAAAAAGCTGTTGCAAAGCTTGATCCTGACCCAGACACAGTGGAACAGCAGCTGGCATTGAGGAATGTCCGGAACCGTGCCCGCACAGGAGCAAAGAAGGAGAAAAAGAAAAGATCCTTCGATGAGGCATTCAAAACTGCTGAACCCAAAGTCAAAAGAGCGGCTAGGATCAGCATTTTCCAGAAGGTTCAGATTGTGGACTTTGCGGAGAATTTGTTGCAGACCCAGAAGCCTATCTCACAAGGTCGAAGGAAGAGAAAGGCTAAACCTACAGCGGGCAAGCATCACGTGAGGGTCAACTTCCTCCGTGGTGTCAACTTGCAGCGGGCTTGCCAGCAGAAATTTCCACAGCTTGGCAGAATAAAAGTATCTGCATTGATAAAGCAATGCCACCAGCAGAGTTGGCGGTCACTATCCAAGGCACAACAAGTACGGCGGTGCCAACTACCTGACAATTTGAAAGCATCCATGGGGCTCACCCGCAAGGTGAAAGGCTGGAAAGCATTGACTCCTCAACAGCTTTCAGATTCTGCTAAAGAGAAAGGGTATGTGCAGAGATGGGCCGTTCCAGGGGCTATCCTGGAGGACCAGAGCTTTGGAAACTAAAGTGAACTGTGAACACACACATAATATAGCATCTCTATATATATATATATACAATATAGCATCTGATGACCTAGGCAGTGTGCACAAAAAAGGCAACATCCTGCACGGGTAGTCAGCTCCCGCTGTCAGGAGCTAAACAACACCTTGCAAGAGTTTGCGATGGGGTCTTCCTTGGCGGCGCAACGCAGAGACATTGTTCTTGGAAAACATTGTGTTTCCTGGCAAGGAATCTGTGTGACATTACTCCTATGTCATGGGCACAACACATATATTGTTGTGTTTATATTGTTGATATATATATATATCAAAATATGTGTGTATATATCAATGGGTATGCTTCATGCTTCAATTCCAGGTAGTCACAGTCCGGAGATTGGCCAGAGAATACAACAAGGGCCTCGAGAAAGCCCGGCAGAAGGCAATTGATTACAATAACAAGCTGATGCAAGATCTCAAAGATGCTGGCGTCAAAGCCAAGTACTTGTCCTCATCCTTTGTTCCGATTCCACAAGCTTGTCCAGAGAACCTGGATATGAAGTGGGTTCGGAGATTCCTCAAGGCTTACCAGTGGAAAAAGGTTGCCCGCAACACTGCTGGCCAATACCTGGCTTCTTAGATTTGCATTCCAGCAAACTTCTTCTATGTCCCTCCCAGGACTTATGACATAGGAATAGGAAGCATGGCCAGAACTCACATGTGGAACTCTCATGTGTCAGGAATGGGATGATGTGAGATTGCAGGCGGCCAGGGCAGGTGTACAGCGCCACATCTCTGAGGACCATGTCCACCGTTTCATGGTCCTCAACATAGACCAAGTCTGGAGACAATCATTACGCTTCTCGAAGACCGTTTTGATGAAAGGGCGACAGCGTCAGTTGGATGCACTGGTTGGCCTATGAATTGTTTTGACCGTTTTCTTTTTGTTGGGAGTCGGGTTTTTATGGGTGGCGCCAGATCTTACTAGACAGACACCGGCATCCATGGACACATGACATAGCCCTTCGGAGCCACAGGCAGAAGGTCGTGACTATATAGCTTCTTTTCAGCCTGAGGCGAGAAGCAAGAGGGTCATGTCATCAGCAGATCGGACTACGTGCCGGATGCCAGAAAGAGCATCACTGTCGTCACATCTTCGTGGTCCGATGGTACAGCAGGACCACTTGGTCTTTGCTTCCCTGATGGAAGCCTTCGGCAGGAGGATGTGGACACATTCAATAAAACCCATGAGGGAGTGGCCATGATCTTTGCATCGCAAACTTCTTCGCACTTCATGACAGCAGAGACATTTATGGTATACCTCCATGGTTTGCTGACACCTGCATTGTCGCTTCAGAGAAAGAAGTTGGGCGTGGCTTCCTCTACAATGGCTTTATTGCTCTGTGATGCTTGGACTGGGTTCCATGCGTGCAAGAACGGGCTCGATGCGGCCCGGGAAGGGTGGTCTAAGCAGGCATGCTGCATCCTTCCAGACCGCCAGGACAGGTACAGGGCCTATGTCATGTGTACCGCGTATACGCTTTGTGCACTTTATCAATAGGAACACCGGTTCTTCCCTTGTTGGTTACTCGTTCCTATGTCATGCCTGGTTGAACCCCTGAGGCCGGAGGATTCAGCGCGAATGCGCAGCCGGTGGATCAGTTGCATCACCTGCTGCGCGCGCGGATGGAGGTGGTTGATGCTGAAGAGATCAGCTGCGAGAGCGACTTACGAGAGCGTCCGCGTAGCTCATCTGGGTTTATATTTATATATATAGTTTATATACTTGGGATCATAGTTCATAGTTATAGACTTCTAGAACTCTTCTGGAAAGATTCAGGATTTCAAAAGGAAATTTAAGAAGATTATACAAGGGTTTTAAAGGCTTTAGGAAGAGGTAGATGACACAGGGCTTTATAGCAAGTATCGGGAAACATCGATAATGTTTAAGGACATTTGAGAAGAATAACAGCTTTCAATTAGAGGCCGGAAAAAATTGGAATTAAACATATATACATATATAATACCATATATATATATATTGTTTTAGGAAAGAATCTGTGCTTTAGAGGAAGTTTCGGGACAATCGGGAATTTTGAGGTAGTTTTAGAATATTGGTGTCGTGCCCTAGGACATGACATAGGCCTGTTGTGCTCAACCATGTCCTTCCAAGGCTACGATACATTGCCCATCGGAACAAGCGGGCAACCAGTTCGCAACAAGGTGTACACTCGCACCTCTTTAGCAGAGCGAACTCTTCGTGCTTGGCTGTCGGTGCCGCGCAAGGCATTCATATCAGCATGGGTAGCAACCGGATACTTCCAATCTGAGCACTTTCCAGAGGAGCAACTGACTCCTGCACAGGCCAGAGAGGCGCTAGATCCTACGGGAATGCTGCTTTCCCTGGGCATAAAGAATGATGTCATTGCATTTGGTTCCTCGCAACCCGAGAGGCAGGACTAAGCGATACTAAGAGTATTTATATATATAAGCACATAAACATTGTGTGGGTGCATCCTTTTTTGTTTGTGTATATGAAATTTATTAATATACAATATTGGTGTAAGCATGTGTGTGTGT